TTCATGAATTCCAAGCTGTAAGCCTATTGCCTATACAATTATGAATATAAACATAAAAGTTTTTTTTTATATTTAATTACAGCTTTATAAACTTTAACAAATTGGAAAACATGCAGGTAGATATTTTAAAGTGTCTCATCTAGTATCAAGTTCATTGTACTCTGTATTGTTCAATGTCAACAACTAGAGAGAGAGAACATTTTGGCTGTAGGATTACACTGGTAATCTTTTCTAGGATGACTGAATTAGTCCAAATGGCTAATGAATGAATTAGTCAGCATTGGCTATAAACTATAATGGAATTAATACAGAGTATCTAGACTGCTGACTGCTCCACATTTCAAAACTACAACAAATAGCTTGCTAGGCCAGCTGTACTGATGCAGGTAAATGTATGAATAAAGCATTATATCTGCATGATAACAAAGTATTGTGGAATGAAAAAAATCATGTTAGATTCTGAATAGGTCAACAGGCTTTTAATGAGAGCATCAAAAAAGGAACTCTGGAAAGAATGTTTCCCTGCACTGACATGCAGAACTGGGGACTGAATGGAACAAAGACAGCTTTCATTCAAGTGTTCCTTAAATAGTAAAGGCTATAAAAACAAGCTTCTCAAAGAAAGAAATACCACTATGAAAGCAGTAAGGGACTTTGAGACAAGTTAATTAAGCTGCTACTGAGTAAACGGCCCTTCAATTTTTAAAATATCGGTGAATAAATCCAGATCCAGAGTTATAGAATACTGTACAGTTTCCCATATCATTAGACCTACTGTTCTCTGTACTTTTCTTCTAAGAAAATATGGAGCTGTATCCTGTTCTAGCCTTTGGTTTTTCAATGTGCAACCAGAAAGAGAAATAAAAATCTGGACTTTTTTAAACTAATTGGGAGTGTACATTTTTGCATGCAACTAACTTTTAGGTTCTGACTTTCATGCAAATGCAATGAAAGTAGTCCCACTGGTTTGAAGTTTTGCCCCTCACACATAAAATAATTCAGCAGTAGAAAATACATAGATTGGGACCTAAGTAAAATAGTAAAAAGATATTTTGCATAACAGAATTTATGCTAATTGATTATCAGTTTCACAGTGTGTGATCTCTTGCTTTTCCCAATTCCTCTCCCTGAAAGGAGACAGAGTATAGTTTGGGTTTCTGCACGGTGGAAATGGTTGAATTGATAGATTGTAGAGAAGTGAGCTAAGGAAAAATGCAGTATCCTGTGTTCATGTGTTTGTTTGATGTTTCTATTTCTCTCTCTCTCTTTTCCTTCATGATAGAATCAAGGCATAAATTCACATGACTTCTGTTTTTATATGTGAATGGTAGACTTACAAAAACCTATTCGTCCATGTCTCTTGTACTTTACCTCATAATCTTATCTTTCTAGTGTTCTTGATTGAAGCCTAGGCTTCAGTCATAAATACAGATACTAAATTGTAAATCCATTGAACCCACTGTATATATATTTTTGGATAGACATGCACCATTTACCTAGTTGCATACTATAGGCTTGTACGTGCAGCAGATGAGAAGTATATCCCAAACTTAAATCCTAAGTTTAAGCAGGATTCACTTAATGACGGCAACCACAACTGCTGTTATAAGTCAGTGCAGTTGTATAACATCACACTTTAGGCCTGCGATGCTTAGCAACGAAGTTGTCGGTCCCAATTACTATCGTTAAGTTAGGACTACCTGTAAAAGCTTCCTGACTTCAGCTCTATCCACTGCAGCCAGTCACATTTGGTGAGATTGAACTTTTAAATCAATGTCACTAAAACGGTCCCTGATGTAGAACAATCAGATCTCTTAGCAAAATCATTAGTAATTCTTCTATTTGCTCTTCATAATATCAACTGGTGGATACAGTATCCATTTTTTGCAAACTGTGTGATTCCTTTGCTGTTGACTCAAAACATATTGGAAGTTTTACATAACATTAAAGTCTTTGAATTGATCCAGCAAAATGTTTCTATGTTCTTGAAGGCTTTTTAAAAATTCTGAATTAAGAGGCCTATGGTGACAAGAAGGAAGGAAGGAAGGAAGGAAGGAAGGAAGGAAGGAAGGAAGGAAGGACTCTTTGCCTCATGTCAATGCTATAGAGTGCTACTAATAGCGTACAACAAAAATGCATAGGAAACCATAGGAAACTGTGCTACGTTTCACTGAATAATAATAAAAAAGAACTCCTTATAAATTCTTCTTACCTTTGTTTCAGGAAAATGTGAATGTTCAGATTTACCTAAAAATGTAAAAAGAAAGATTATTTTCACATTTTAAAGACAAAAGTCAATTCAAAAACAAGATTAAAAAATTTCAGTTGCATTCTGTCTATGAACCCAACAAAGGTGAGATTGAAATCCATTTCATATAATCCAAGTCATTTTAAAATCAATTCTGCATGCATACACACATATACATATTTACTCTGTAATCAAACACATGAATATTAAGGGAAAGTTAATACATGAACAGAAACCATTTGAATGGCATCTTTTTTTTGTTTGTTTTGTGAGACTAGGCTAAGGCTGCCATAACCTAAAGATGAAGCAGGCAACGTAAGCAGAGAGGACAAAAGTCAGGAATCTTATCTATGAGATCCCTTCAGGGAG